CTCTTTCCACCCCCACCATCCCCTTCTACCCCTCAACCTTCCCCTCCATCGGCACAGCTAAAAGATACAAGCTCATCTGCACCCCGTACTCTGCAACCTTCTGCGTGTGGCCTCCCTAGTACCCACAAGCTGTCTTTGAGCTGTACAAAGATGTCATGACTCCCAAGATCTTCCTAGCCAGGCGTTCAGCCCACATCAGTCCCCTGTTTTAATCTCGCCACTGCTTCCTTCTCCACACTTCAATTCAAGCTTCCCATCACCACCTTCTCCTCCCCTCATCCTCCTTTTTCATGGTAGACCTCCTTTCATCATCAGTGGCGGTGATCGTTCACTGTCAAGGATGATCAAGGAGCCTACCCAACTTGTTTTACAGGAGGAGGCCACTGGGCATCGGCAACTGCATGGATCTTGGCGGAGGAGAAGCCTATGCCCGGTGGCAAGGAGATCCAAGGCAACTGGGGTTACTCTTCCACTGCAGCGTTCATCTGCTTTCGCAGCTATTGAAGCCATATGTCTTCTGCATCCACCTAGATTCATAGGCGTTAGGGTTGGAAGGGACCTTAGCAGATCACCGAGTCCAACCCCCTGCCTTGGGCAGGAAAGAGCGCTAGGGTCAGACGACCCCAGCTAGGTGCTTGTCCAGTCTCCTCTTGAAGACCCCCAAGATAGGGGAGAGCTCCACCGTTGATGTTTTTGCATTGTGTTGTACTGCTCTTTGTCTGATACCTCACCTTTGACCATACCAGGAGTGCAAGACTCCTAACAGTGTTGCTCTTAGGGGCATCGGTGCAAGCAAGCCTCTCCACCCTGTCGAAGCGGCAGTCCATGGAGAGGAGACCTCCTTTACCCAGCCAGTACTGCCAGCCTCAGAGTCCTGCATCAGCTCCCTGAGGCCTCCTACATGCTGCCTCTGCACATGACATCCCTCCTGAGCTGGTTTAGAAATGTTATCCTTGCACCTTTGCACGTCTCCCGACTCTGCCATATCTGAAGCCGGTTTCAGAATTCCTCGGGGCAGCTACTGTACCTTTTACCTGCCATCACGTGCCAGCAAAATAAGAAAGCCCGAAGTGTGCGCGCGTGCCCATGCAGGGGGAACAGCTGGGAAAAAGAAGCTGGTTGTTAACTTGGGAAGGACAGCACAGAGTAGCAGCAATACAAGGAGTTGGGAAACGCTGTCTAAATTATAATCGTCAACTCCTACATGTAGGAATGCAACTTGCTTCCACTAGCACTAGGATGGGGCAGCCACGGTAATGGGGAAACTGGGTAACAGAGGTTCAGGTAAGAACTAGCCATAGTTTTCAGATATGCATTTTACCAAGCAAGATAAAGACTGGGCACAGAAGCAAAACTAAGAGGAAAACTGCTTCTGCTAGATAGACACTTTATCAGGGCTTTTTAAGAATATCCTAATGGGAGCGCATGGGCAGAAATGGTTTTGCTAAGTGGTTGTGGCCAGGGCACAAAGCGGGCAGGCTGCAAAGAACCTTCTCCACCTTTGCTTGCTCAAGACAGCCGTCTTGCACGAGGCATGGAGGTGCTATTTCTCCTGCCACAAGCTTCACCACCCCGGCCAGCCGTAACACCCGGCACTGCATGGACTGCGCTCCACGCGGACAGCCTTGCTGGGGCACGACCCCCCTTCATCCACGCCCTCAAGTCCAGCTTGAGTCTCCTAAACTTCCCCAGCCTTTATTAAATTCACCTCAGCTTTACAGTGGCTTTGAACAAGTCCTGAGGGTCTGTACGTGAAAGCGAATGCTCTGCAATAAAAGTCTCATCTAATAACACCCTTTGGGGACACGGTGAATTCTCAACCGTCTGAACCCCTCAAATCCAGAACAGATTCACGTTGAGGAAATGCGCTCCAGCTCAACCCAAAATTAAGGACTTTCCAGAGACTACACAGAAGTTCAGACTAGATGAACGCTCACAGACTGGGAATATTCTGCTTATTCTCTATGAATAAATACCTGTGTGGCAATGTTACTATACTTCAAGAATTCCCCCCCCACCCCCCAATGAAAAAAGACAAGACACTTTTTTTCAAAACACAAGGAGATTTGCCCAAAACTTCATTCTTTTCTTAAAGAGAGACACGCATCCTACCTTTCTACGTCAGGGAAGTCCTTGCTTCAGGAAGACGCTTTTGACACAGAAGCCATGAATGCGAGAGAAAACATTTATCATGAAATACTCCATTTATCTGGGAGTTTCCAAACACAAGCGCCCATTTAAAACCAGGGCTCTTCATCTGCCAATTCAAAAAGGACTCTTTGTCCTGGGATTACAAGGCAAATTATGTGTTTCTTTTTAAACTTAAGGCAACTTCCTGGGTTAGAAACCCACCACCAACAGCAACAGACCAACTCGCATTCAAAGGGGGAGTTGCTCCCTTGCTGAATATTCCAGAAATATTACGTTAAACATAACCCTTAGCCCAGTACAAACGTGGCCTTTTGCTCAAAAAAGGCTGCTGCTTTGAGTTGGATGAGCTCTACAAGCAGAGCTCTAACAACTCTTCTTTAGGCCGGCATGAGCAAAGAGTTTATCCGAGATATGATACAAGACCATGCCGCAGGTCACCCAGTCGACTAGGGATAAATCGAGACTTTCCCGTTACAAAGGGGATTGTATCGGGAGAAGAAGAGAACCACCTGCAAGTATGCGCTCAGAAGCAACCAGCTGGAGGAAGGCTAGGTAGCTTTAAACAGGTGCTCGGGAAGAAATTCATCTACACGGAGACAGGCAGTCCCGGCAGAGAACGAGAGCTGCAGCTAGCTCTCGGCACGGACCTGGCCAGAAGACCCTCGAGGCGGTGAGTCTGATCTTCAGTTCGCTCACCTTCCCTTTTTGGCATGACCAAAGCTAGTGCTGAAGACTCACCTCTATGGCCTCTGAGGATGGATATATGGTTTTGCAAAGAGCTCAAGACCCTCTTGAGGCGGGGTGTCCATGCCCTACACCCTGAGGCTGCAGATCTCATCTGATACGGATGGATAATGCTCACTGGAAATCCTGCCCCGTTGCGCAAGCCTAGATGTCCAAGAAAGGAGACAGTTCCTCTCGCTTCCTTCTTCCAGGGACACATGCTCGACACAGAGCAGGATTAGGCCCTTCTGACGTAATGGCCTGGAATGGCTCTCGAATAAAGGAATAACCATGCCGATTTATCCTGTTCACGATCTATGATGCATCAGCCCAGCTGCCCATAGCTGCAGCCAGATTGCTTCACAATCTGAGGAGCAAAAGGGCCAAACCTGGGCTCACCCCCTGCCCCTCCACCAACATACCCATGCATTTAAATGCCACTCGGTATGGGCTATCTAGTGAAGGGTGGGCCACGATGCTGCCCATGTGTCACAAGAGGCACGGGCAGCCTCTGCATGGGGCACACGGCAAGTCAGGAAGGGGCAGACAGCTCGGCTGAGGATAGGACAGGAAGCAGAGCAACAGATGGGGCAGGGGAAGGGGATCAGAGGGCTTAATGTGCATCATGCCTGCTAGAAAGGTTGGCTCCCACTCAGGGCCAGACAGGCATGGGCGAACTGGGCGGCCGCCCGGGACCCAGACAGAAAGGGGACCTGAAAATGGTAATTTTTATTATTATTATTATTACTAATATCATCTCTGGTGAAGGGGGGCCCCAATACTAAAAGTTCATCTGGGGCCACCAGGAGTCTAGGTACGGTGCTGCCCCCCAGTCTAGGGTACACAGAGTTGGCCCAACTCTGCTCGCTTCTCCTGCTGTCCTCACTGCTGTGACCTTAGTCTAACCCAGGGCAGGAGGCTGCGTCTTACACAGGTGGAGCAGGAGTGAACAAGAAGACGCATGATTTCTGCAATAAGAGCTATTGTGGGGCAACAGGATGCAGGCCCAAGGCACAATCCAGTTTCATCAGAAGACTTGTGCCCGCTCCGAGCAAAGGGAAGCCTAGACTGCTCTATTCGCAGAAAGCTGATGAGAGGCTTACAGAGCTTGGGGTTACCGCGTGCAGAACAAGGAGCAAAACTCCTCCACCTCTCCCCAGGGACAAGGGTGGATGCTTTAAGTGTCAGGGCATCCTGGCTGGCTGCTTTTCACTGTAAAGGATCCTTCCCTCCCAAATGGCTCTCCCAGAAAGATTCCCCAGCTCCTCAACCATCTCTTGGCTCACTTCCACATCAGAATCAGACAGCCGGGAGTCCCTGACAGTGGATCATCTTGGTCCCCTGAACTTGAGCAATCTGCACTGCGCTGAAGCAGAAGAGGACGTTAGGTGGACTTCTTACTAGCTCATCAGGTCAAAGGCATTTCTTTTTTGCCAGGCCATGAACAAAGAAGTGATGACATGGTTCGCACCTCGAGAGGTGCCGCTATAAAGCCAGCTTCTACAGACTTCAGATCCAGGGAGTGCTATGTCCTGTGAAAAGCCGGCCGGAGGTGAATGTGAACCCCATGTGGGGGTGCACATCCAGGCTCAAAATTAGCCAACACTGGCAGCCAAACACAACCATACTAGGCTGGCAGGCTGGTGGAGTGCGGACCAGCAACATCCCACAGCTGTGTAGGTAGCGGGTCAGTATGAACACCCCGCTCTTCGTGGACCAGCGAAGGACCACCGTGCCTGCCAATGCATCTACCGTTCTCTCTTGCAGAGCTCAAGCACGTACAGCTGGCTTTGCAACAGCAAACTTCTCCCCCCTGCCCCTTCTCAGTGCTCAGCAGGCTGCATAACCCACCCACCCCTCACTGCAGACTGAGATGCCACCATCCACCAAAAGCCAAATTTCAAGGTGACCTGAGTGTAAGGCAACACCTGCAACGTGGAAGTCTATGGGCCTCATCTTCAACTGCTGGAAGTCTGGTAGGACTCAATGCACCTTTACACCAGCTGACAGCAGCTGAAGAGTTGGCCCGTTCCCATAAAATGCAAAGACTCCCCCCCTCTCCCAACGGCAGCACAGGAACGCGATTCAGTCCTTCCATCACGGATCAATGTTCCCTTCAGCCTTACCTTGATTGAGGTAGGTCAAGGTTTCTTCGTGCATCTTCACGGCAGGGGATGTAGCTGTACAAAGAACATACTGAAATGGAGGCACTTTGGTTTCATTCTCGGGAGACAACTGAGGTTCCTCCTGCTTGAAGATCGGCAGCGCCAAGACATCGCTGAAACATAACCAGCAACACACGCTTAGTAACAGCATCTGAAGAGGGACACGTGGTCAGAGCCCAAATGCGAACAATTCTCTTGCACTGGATGTAAGAAGCAATGCATGACACGTGCTAAGAGGTGAAAAAGGAGCCGGGGTCAGACAAAACAACCACAAACGCACTTGCCCTGCATTTTAATGCATTAGTAAAATGGAAGATCACCAACCATCTATTGAGTTGGCAAACACCAGGTCTGATGAGCGTGTGTACCCACAATACCACCTCTTCCCAGCGAGAAATTAAATAATAAAAACCTCTTCAAATGTTTGGGTCCACATCTAAAAGAAAAAAATGAAGACATTTTTTTTTTTTTAATTGTTAAACCATTTTGAACATAAGTCTTAATGAGCTCTCTTCCAAACACCGGATTGTGTTTTTACTAAAACTAAGTAAAATTGGCCATGTTTCTAAGTTCCTTCTATTAGCTCACCGTCCCTCTCCTCAACAAAGCAAATATCCATGTGCCTTTCCTCGCTGCGGCCAAGGTCCTAGGCTCCTAGCCATACCCTTGCACCATCTCACCCTGCACCAATCTGAATACTCTTCCTGGAAACCACTTCCAACATCCAGAACCAACAAGCTTGCTCTGAGCTAGTCACTCCCCATCCCAAAATTAAGCTCTATATCTAATAGTGCAATCGCCCCGGTCATTTCGATCTAGCCAAGGTAAGTTAAGATGTGGCAGCTTAACCAATGTTGGGTCCTTGGGAGGGACCCCCACTATACCCATCACTGCGCTTTGAAGGCAGTCGGGTTGCATGTGCCTCATCCTCCCACGCTGAACAGGATTTGACCCCCACATCAGGCAGGGCCAGGACTTCGATCAAAATGCCATAGCCTGTTGAGGGTTTTGGTCCATAAGGGAGTAGCCAGGCACCACATCCCGGCTTTCCCCAAACAGAACTGCCTGTTGCCCTAGCCCTTCTCTTGTACTAAATTAAAAACCTGCAACATTTCAACAGATTTCGGATGCACACACCCAGCTGTCAGGGCTGCTGCGATAGACCCAGCCCTGACCCCCTTACACTTAAACAATATCCATCATGATCTACAGCAAAGGTGGGCAATTATTTGGGCTGGAGGGCCACTTAGGGAGTTTTGGTGAGCTGTGGCGGGGTGGTGTGCTGACCTGGCCAGGTGCAGCCTAGGGAGTGGTGCAAACCAGGGGGGCAATTGATCCTATCCACCCCAGATCCCATCCACTCCCAGAGGCACCAGACAGAGCGGGTGGCCAGGTGGGGTCTTCACATAGAGACCAGCCCAGGACTCCTGCGGGCATGGGATGGGGCCATGGGTGGGTGGGGACACACTCCCCGCATCGTGGTTCCTCTGCTGTCACTGCCCCACGATCCCGGCTCTGTCTCTGCCTGCCCATCCTGCTCCCAGGAGCTACTCCCCACCTACGCACAGCCCCATCTCATTCGCCCGCAGGGGTCCCAGACCAGTCTCCACGAAGAGCCCACCTACCAACCCGCTCCATCTGGCACCCCCAGGCCAGGGTGCCTGGGCAGCAGAGCCAGGTCCGGCGGCGGTGGGGACACTGGTAGTGACAGCCAGAGGGAGCTGCCACCAGCAAGGCTGCCAGGAAGCTCCAGCTGCCGCGCCACCCCAGCCCCACCGTGCACCCGGGGGTGGTGGTAGTGGCCTCACGCACCACGGCCCGGGCTGAGGGACCCTCTGAAGCCCAGATAAAATCCTTTGGCAGGCCACATCCCATGGGCTGTATTTTGCCTCCCCCCTATCTACAAAAGGATGGGTCAGAACAAAATCATTTATACCCAAGCATGAGAGTAAGGAACTAGACGCCAGTGCCAGCAGCCCTATTCTTTTCTGCCGTAGGATAAGAAGCAACATTAGCCTTCCTCCCTTCTCTGACACTGAGCTCTACTTCTATGCACGGTGTCCTGTTTGCTTGTGTGTTTAATGCAGGAATCCCACCCGATCAGACCGATGCTGAGCCAAGACTACCTGCTGCCTCTGAACGGAGGGCTAGGCTACTCTTTTCTAGGCAGCTCTTTTCTCCAGGCTTGTTCCTCCCCCATTTATGGAGGCAGCAGCTCCCAAGCACCTCTGTGTGTATAAAGAAGCAGCAAAAACCAGCTGCAAAGAAACACAAATGTGGAAAAATGTGTGTTGGCACGCTTGCTCGGAA